CTGGTGGGTTCTTTGCGGTGGGCTAAATCGGCAGTTCCTTCGTTTGTTTTTTTGTCAGTATTTTACGGCACTCGCAATTGCATAATGTCATATGGACGCGAGGGACACAGTAAACATTTTGAGTTTGGAAGGAATTAAGTTTGAACTTAGTCTGGGTGGAGGCCGAAGCCTACTTTTATCGATTTTGGACCACCAAGTGATCCTTAACATGGTGCTGCTTGCACTCGGGATCTGCGAGATTTTTCGCCCTTATCTGAGAAGGCTCGGTGTTAGATCTTACCTACCCTAAGATCAGGGGTGTGGCTGAAAGACAGCAGGAAGGAGTCATAAGGGGTAGCAGTCGAAAGACTGCAGAAAAAGCCATGTGCCTCGAGGAGGGGACAAAGGGGAGGGAAGGGGGCGCAGAAAATGGAGGGGAAAGCAGACGACAGAACATGGTTAGAGAGCAGGAAAGAGCAGGAACGAGGTGAAAGGAGAAAATTTTAGAGAAGAACATTTTCCGTTGCTGTCAGGTTTCGAACCTTATGTGAGAGGCGAACACTGTAACTTCTAGACCTCGAGAGCTCCCTGCAGCGCCTTCAGTTGATGTAGTTTATTATCAGGGTTCCCTCTACTTCATCATCCCACTTTTGCGTGGCCTACCTCTTCCTTTGTAGCCTAAGTGCACATAATTATTTATCACTGCTCTATATCGGAAGTCTGGCACCTGGTCCTTTTGGCAGGTGTAATGCAGGTGAAAAGAGGGAGGGTTTTTTCCTGTGGTAAGGGGGGCGGGGTCGTTTCTTTTTTTCGTTTTTATTTTCGTTTTTTGGGGTAGGGCTTCTCTGCAAGTAGATAGATAGATAGACAGTTAGATAGAGGTGTCTAGATCGATAGACTGATAGATAAATAGATAGATAGATTGATAGATAGATAGATAGATAGATAGATAGATAGATAGATAGATAGATAGATGGATAAATAGATGGAGAGAGAGAGAGAGAGAGAGAGAGAGAGAGAGAGAGAGAGAGAGAGAGAGAGAGAGAGAGAGAGAGAGAGAGAGAGAGATAGTGATGATGATGATGATGATGATGATGATGATGATGATACTCTCATCAAGTTGTTTTATTTAGTGAACACTCCACTACATCCCCCCCCCTGCCTCCCCCGTCTCCCTCATTCCTTTCAACTTCCCTCTCCCTCCATTTTTCCCCTCTCCTTCTCCCCTTCAATCCCTCCTCTACCCCTCTGTCCTTCCCATCCTCCTCTTATTCCTCCCCTCTCCCTCCTCCCCCCACCTCTCCCTCTTCCCCACCCTTTCATGCCTCCCTTCTCTCTCCCTTTATCTATCTCCCAGTCCTCACTTTTTACTTCTCCTTCCCCATAACACTCCTCCCCCCTCTCCGTCCCCCTCTCATCCCTCCTCCCCCTCTCCTCCCCTTCACCTCCCTCTCTCCTCCCCCTCTCCTTCCCCTCTCCTTCTCCCCTTCCCTCTCCTCCTCTACCCTCCTGTCCTTCCCATTCCCTCTTTATCCCTTCCCTCTCCCTCCTCCTCCTCTCTTCCTCCTTCTTCCCCCCTCTCTGTGCCTCCCTTCTCTCTTCCTTTATCTATCTCTCTGTCCTCACTTTCCACTTCTCCCTCTCTCTCCGTCCCTCTCACCCTCTCTCTCCCTCCGTCTCACTCTGTCTCCTTCTTGCTCCCCTTCACCCTCCATATCTCTCCCCCTCCCTCTCTCTCTTCTCTCTCTTCCTCCCTCGATCTCTTCTCTCTCTCTCTCTCTCTCTCTCTCTCT